TGTCCTTGGGAGTTTGATCTGCCAGGACTGGGGTCGGATCTTCCACAGACAGAGCCGTTCCATCGAGGCTTGACGCCTCTCTCATAGGGACTGAATCTGTCGGAGTTGAACTCAAATTTTCCGAATTTGGAGCCAATCCAGCAGGCCCTGGAACCGCTACCACGGGGATCGGACTTGTCGGGGGCGGAATCGGATGTTCGATAGTTGGAGCTGTTCCACCAGGAACTGGAACCGCTTCCACTGGAGTTGAAACGTCTAAGGTCGGGGCTGCTCCATCAACGATCGGAATTGGACCTGCAGAAATGAGACCCCCCGAAGATAAAGTTGTTTCACTAGAGCTTGAGGCTGCACCTGCTAAGGCCGAGCCCTCTGGGATCGATGCTGCTTCCTTGGAGACGGGGACTGTTGAAGTCGAAGGCAATCTGGAGGCATTATGGTCTGCTGCCACTTCTAAAGCCGACATCAAATCTCTCACAACGTGAGCAATAGACACTTGGACGTCGGCAACAGTCTGCAATGGAGGTTCAGCTTGGGAAACCATGGGAGCACCAGACACGGGAGCAGAGGGTGATGTACCCCTGCATGTTTGTCATCAGAACCTGGAGATGACGAAGAAAACACCTGAGCTGAAGGTTTACAAACTGCCCATAAAGAGGCCAGGGCCCCCCATTCCGACTCCAACTCCTTCAAAGTCGCTTCCCCATTGGCGGCATTAAACTCGTATAAGACCTTTTTCTGCGACAAAGCGGCTATGGGGGCATCTAGACGCTGGGACTTCTTGTACAAGTCAGCTTGTATTCGACGTTTCTCTGCCAATAGCCGTTCCAAGCCCGCAATTTCGGGGCCTAATTGGGCGAGCCGAGCTTGGAGACGAGCCACCTCGGCTTGTGTTGCTAGCTGTTCGGCACGAAAGGCTTCAAGCCGGCTCGAAGCATTGGAAGCTTCATCCTCAGTATGCGAAAAGTCATCTTGCAAAGATTATTTCTGATCCCGCAGCGTTCCCAGTTGATCCAAATGCGCCCTCCCGAAATCTCGGTTCTCTTCCGCCATCCTACGGCGTTTGGCGAAAGTGTTCACTTTGGAAGATAAGCTGACCCATTGCGCACGAATAGACTCGGGAAGATTTGCATAGGAAGAGGACTCCGCCAAATTCAATAAAGCCAGTTGGATGGAGCTTAAAGTTTCAGAATCCCCCGGGGACGCCCCCAAACAGGCAGTGACAAATTGTTCATCCATCCCATCGGGGAGCTGACCAGCAAAGGCAGAGACAGATGGTGCACCTTGATGTCCAATGAAATACTCCCGAATACGCTCTTGACTGATAACAGAATCGGAAGCAACGCGACCCGCACGAGGTGGGGCAGGAGTAAGGTCTGGAGGTGGAAAGGGAGTATCCGACGTTCTCGAAGATACATGCTGATAAAAAAGGTTAGCGAATAACATTCTAATATGAGTGTGAAGGGAAATGCAACTTAGGTAGTGAGAATACCTTGGACACAAATGTTTTCGGCGGATGAACTTCCGAAGGGAGATTCACCGTAGGATAAGCTGTGGTCTTAGCCGCAGGAGTTGCCTTAACACCTTTGTGCACCTTCTTAGCATGCTGGATACAACAATACATACAAGTGAGAAAATCATGAAGTGATCTTGGGAAATACATGGAAATGGATATAAACCTGGATGTTGGGAGAAATGGTTGCACGACGCTTCTCCGAAGGCTTTAGGGCAGCAGCTCTGGCTTTGGCATGTCGAGTTGATCTACGTACGGGGAAAGACTCTGTCACTACGAACACAAACAAGGATTAGCTGACATTTATTGATCAAAGCTAAAGGAAGGGATGAACACCCACCTTCGATGATCTCAGGAGCCGCACTTTCGACCTCCTCGACGGCAGTGTCAGCTGGTTCACTTTGATGGTCAGAATCAGTATCGATAAAACGGCATAACAAGGAAGCCGGAGGTTCCGCAAAAAGAACGTCCCTTAAGGACGCCCACCAGCTCGAAAATTCCGAACCAACGGAAGGCTTGGTTTCAAAAACAGGAAGGGGTGAGTCCTCAATGGCCGCATTCAAGCCTCGGAACATATCAAGACCTTCAGAGGTCACATCCTTCATCACCAGCGGGAAGGGCCCTCGACAATGGAAACGGTACATTGGGACAGTCTGTCGGAGTTCGAATTGGCGTGCATACAACTGCGGGAAGTAACCTTCCACCCCAACGGGTAAATAACGAGATGTAGGCCTTAGACCCAACAACAAAGGCCTTGCAGTTAGAACTTGATTCCATGACGAAGTAATGGAAGACCAATCAAGGGAGTCATCCTCTTTCATCGGCGGGGGCTTGGAGAACCAATCAGGCCCATGAGATCGTTCCGGTAGAGGGAAGAATCGTGCATCCTCACGTTCGCTGGACGACAAGAAAAAATTAGCAATCTGTAAAGCGTTACGGTAACATTCAAATCCAGATAAAAACACGCCGATACGATCTTCCTTCGGAATTTGGAACGGCCACGGTATGTCGATAGCCTCTGGAAACATATAAGCAGCCCAAAGCTGAAGAAACCACAAGGGTCCCCTTTGGGTGGATACGCGTTCCTCACGAGTCAGGCGGGTATAAAGATCGTTAAGAGTCCGATACAAATATCCTAAGAAGAACTGAGCAAGCGCCAAATTGTCACCCTCCATTATCGACGCTACCAAGGGCTCATAGTCTCTAACCAAATTCCTACCAGCTGCGCTTATGAAAAAGCGATTCACCCAGAGCATCAAGAAAGTCCTATGGTTGTGTAGCAAATTGGTTTTGGAGCTCGGCGCGCCATATTTCCCATAAAGCAGGACACTCGAGCTAAACTTCGAATAGTCTATACCAAAATCTACGACATTCGATGGGGGAGGGAACAAAGCATAATCATCCCCTGTTACAGGGAGACCTAACAACACTGCAATGTCAAGTAATGTAGGCGAAATCATGCCGAAAGGAAAGCAAAATCCGTTCACTGCGGGACACCAAAAACCTAAGAGCACGAAAAGGAGGTCGGGATGGGGATGAGAAACCTGTGTGCTAACGGTGATCATATCGTCAATCCCCCAAGCTTCCCACTGGGTATCGACTGCGCCGCCAAGGGTCGCCGTCCATTCTTTGAAAGTTGCGCCGTCGGGATATCTGGTCAAGACCCTTCCTTGTCGAAGAGCCAACGAGTAAAATGGTTTCGCGATCAACAAGGGGGACGCACCGTCACCGGCAAGGACTCGTCGGAGTTCCTCCTTTTGGAGATTTATTTCTGCCGCCGGCGTCAACACCCATGAACTCCCATCATCAGACGGGCGCAAAAGCTCCTCGACCGGCATCGAGTAGCGGATCGGACTCGGGACCGCCGTTAGTGGTGAAGGTTCAGCTACACTACTGGAACGAAGAGCCGTCGAAGAAGCCATACAACTTGATATTTGCGTTCACCAAACAGGAGAAAAGCCTTCGAAGGAGAAACGAGAGAAGAAGTGGGAAATGTGAGTGATGATAAACCCTTAGGAAAAAACCCTTGAATGTCTTTTCTCTCTTAGACGACGCGGGAATCGAAGGAAGCAGCCGTCACATCAAGGTTAGAGGGGTTGACGTGAGATATCAAATTGGGATAATTTTGTGCCAAGGCCCAAGAGGGTAAGTCCCACACGAAAGAAGTCCCAAAAAGAGAGCAAAACTTCACGTAGCTTACATTTCATCTCTTTTTGAAAAGGGCAATTGTTGGACCCCAAGTCCAAAATGACTTAAATGTCGAAGATAGTGACTTCCATCAGGCTGAGAAGATATGACTTCCATAGACCTTCGGACGACAAGCTCCATCAACTCTGAATCGGCAATCTCATGACACTAATGAAAGACCATGAAGAGTGAGGGTTCCATGTAACTCAAGGCTGTCGGGAACATATTCCCGTAGACCGGCTGAGAGTATGATGGAAACGAATCAGGGTAGGCTGCAGGTATAATCTGAAGGCAATGGAAGAGATCCAAAACGAATGGAACTTGGTCCAGGAACAATGGAAGATGCTCAAGACGAATGGAACCCGGTCTAGAAGCAATGGAAGCCGCTGGGAACTGATGGAAGGAGGTTATTTGATGGTTAAGAGAAGTAGAAAGAAGTGGGAATAATTTGTAACCACTCATGTTAGTGGGAGAAGTGGTTATTCTAGCCTAGGATTACAAGTAGGAAAAATAAACACAACACACACGCACAACAGAACAAATCGCATCTTTTCATATTTTTCTTCCTTGTTTTATTTTCGTTTATGCAATTTAATTCCGATTATATGCTTTCTGCAATTTATTTACTCGCTTTCCATAGTTAACCGTAGTTTAGTTCAGTAATCGTGCGAAATTCGCATTGCCCGACAACGGATTGACTCTCTGGAGTACTTCCGGAACCCACGCCGACGAAATCGACGAGCTATTTTGGAATTCCGAATTGCAGGATCCAACAAGTATATAAATATTAAACGAAGGTACGTTATTTCAAAATTAAATTTGTACAAAAAAACAATTTTAAAGTACGTAAATAAATAACGTATATTAACATAAACTCAACGAGAGTACATAATATATTAATTACATAAATTTATACTTATTTTTTTAATTACCAAATGAATGCTATAAAATTATTTCTAAATATTTTAAAAAAATAAATTGCAATATGATCAAATATTCTATTGTTTAGCTCGTGGAATTTTAAATCCAACTTCCGTTAATAAAAATCAGGCCAAAAAAAAATAAAAAATCATAAAGCTAACACCTGCATTGCATCACTCTCAAAGTCTCAAATCACTTTACCGCAGGCCCACTTTAAACGGCAATGTAACGGCTCGGCCGGGTTTCCACTGTAGTTACAGTGAGCCGGCGCCGCACTGGATGAGCTACCCAGTTCTGTCCCGTCCTATGACGTGACTGACGTTCACTGTTAAATCCCCACGCCACTCCGTCAATGGCGCACGTTAGCTTTCCATTATAATATTCCGCTACTTTGTCTGTGGTACCCTCAGCTCAGCTGGACTGCAGGAGCTCGCGAGCTCCAATCCATCTTAACCTACACTCCTCTCTCCCTCCCTTTTTCCAAGTTGAGAAAAGCTCTGCTCAAGCACACAACACGACAGTGTGAGGAGGAGCCTCCATCCATAGATGCACACACATACGCACACGCGCAATCATTTCGACGACGTGCCTCTGTTCCTTAACCTGGAATCTTACCTCCGGTTTCCACTTGCGGAGCTCGAGGATGGGCGGCGGATTGATGGGATTTTCGCCGGGAGTGATTTTTTGGGGTGCTTCGGGGATATGCGATTTTGATGCGGTGGGATGCGAACGCAGGTTTTGGTCCGAGTGAATAATAGCCCTGGAATCTGGCTATTGGTGCGTTGCGTTCCTTGAATTATTTTTAGATCTAAGCGGCTTTGGATTTGTCGGTGATGTTGGAGTTCCAGAAATTGCGGTTCTTCAGTCGGTTGAGCGGTGAGGTTTTGCTATGACTGCTTAGTGCGCATTGATCTGTGCTGTTTTTGGATTTCTACGAACTGATTCGTTTGCTCTTTTTGTGAATATCTTGGGGATTTTTTGTTCTTTTGTTCCTTTGATCTGAGGAGCTTCTTTTTCATTTCTTCAGTAAGAATATTATGTTTAGAATGTTTTGGATTAATTTGCTAGTGTGGGCGGAAAGATATACGGAGGCTTTTTACTCATCAATTCCAACAATATATGTTTGAATGCTGTTTTAACTTTGGGGAATGATCATTGATCTCCGAATAATAATAGCTTTTGTATGCATTCTAAGATACTTTCATTGGAATCGTTTTGTGATATGTTTTTTCGCCATATTTTTCGAAATGTGAATTTCAGGGCTGTTGCTACAAGAGGTCCACTGGTCTATCCTGAAGCAATTTCTTCTCTTTTGCTCTGTATTATCTGTTGCTGATGCTAATTTACGCGACAAAATGTTGGAAAGAGAAGCTGTGGCTCCAGCAGTTCACCTCTTGGATTCTCCTGAGATGCCTCTACGTGCTAAATTTCCTTTAATTCAGAGATCTCATTGGAACCGTCGAAGTCCGTATGGTGCACCTTCTCGACCTCGAAATTATGAACATTTTGGGGTTTCTGCTTCACCTTCAAGCTATCGTCTCCTAAGGGACATTGCGCCCTCTCAACCTGAACCTAGCAGTACAATGCCACCTGGTTTAGCTCAGCCACCACTATCTCCTAGCTTCAACAGTAAGATCGATATTCTGGATTCTTTTTATAGTTGAAAGAGCATCATTGATGAGAATACTCAATTAATTTGCACTGCTCTTATCTTTCTGCTTTTTAAATACTTATTAACGGCTTTGTATTTTATTTGGTTTGGTAGATTGTTGTGGACCAGACACAGTGCTTAAACGCGGAAGTCATGGCTGCCATTGTGTTTATCCAATAAAGCTTGAGATTCTCCTTCTGAATGTCTCATCTAACCCAAACTGGAATCTTTTTCTAGAGCAGTTTGCTTCCCAGCTAGGATTGCGACTATCGCAGATTGAGCTGATTAACTTCTATGTTGTCAACATATCTGGACTTAATATATCAATGGATCTCACTCCTCATACTGGATTAAGCTTTTCTGCCCAAGAATTTGCTGGAATAAATGCTTCTCTATTGACTCACAAGGTCCATCTAGATCATTCTTTGGTGGGCGATTACCACCTTCTCAATATAACCTGGTTTACACAACCAATGCTACCTGAAGGTAATCTTCTTATATTTGTCATAGCATGAATGCCACGTGCTTCATCCACGGATAAGGAAGACATTTTGTTTCTTTAAAAGAAGGATTACCTGTGTGGATGTAACTGAAAAATCATGATCTTATGATAACCAAATGAGGAAAAAAAACAAAAATAAGAAATTACACATAAATGCTTATTCTCATTTTTTCGGCAAATAATACAGTTCTGTTATAGCATTCTGTACTTTGTCTATCTATTAATTAATTATATATATATATATATCTAGGTCAGGATTTTATGGATGTACATTACTGTATGTATGCCATCGTATAGTAATTAAAGAATGTGTTTTGCGAAGGATAATAACATGCTTCAAATACAATTTTATCTATTCTTGAGTAAGAGGCGCTAGCTGGAAATTGAATGTCTATATGTATATGTACAAGTGAAAAGGAAGATAAATCATTTTTAGAATCCTGTAGGCTAAAAAATGATCAGTGTTTTTAGTTGCGTTTTGCATTGCTTCGGGTGCTTTGAGTTATTTTGAATTTGATGTTTTTTATTTTTTAATGGAAAATAGGTATTGCATGTAATGTAATGTTTCGAATTGAAAATATGTATTAGATTTTTTTTTCTTTTATTATTATTATTTTTTTTTTTATAAATTTCATTGTAGATAACATGGAGCAAAAAATGGCAATAAAAGCAAAGTGAACACTCTTTTTTTGTATGTTCCCCAAAAGCATTCTGAAATCTTTATTACTTCCTTTGTACCAGTTCATTTTTTAGTCTTACTTTTGGAGTGATATTTTTTTAGGGTAAATTATATAGCATCTCTTTTATTTATTGCGTAAAACCCTCTTTATTAAATTAAAGTTTGCACGAAAACACCATATTCACCAAAACTGATATTTGGGTGTAGATATATTAAGTAGTATTTTTAAAATAAATAAATAATTGATTTTCATTTTATAATTTTTTTTTTGGAGATTATTTGATTTCTACAAAAATTATAAAAATAATCAATTATTTATTTATTTATTTAATTCAAAAGAGATTAATTAAGATATTTTATTTTTTTTATTTATATAAAATTTGTATAATTTAGGTTTGTATTTACAACCAAAACTTGGACGAACATGGTATTTTATGCATATTTAATTTAAGTTTCACGCAATAAATAATTTTTTTACAAAAATACAAAGAGATGTTGTATAATTTACTCTATTTTTCATGATATACTTTAGGGATGGCCTGGTGTGGAGGTTGGACGGGTTCAAACCTCCGACGCATCAAATGACCTGCGGTTTCCACGTCATAAAAAAAAAAAAAAAAAGAAGAGAATAGATAGTATAGCAAAAGATTTAGAATAAGGGAACTCTTAAATAAAATTAAAGATAAATCACTGCCATTAATAGTAAACTCACAACCTAAATACTGCGAATGAATCTAAAGAAAAATGATTAGAAAAGTACCCAATTCTAGAATTAATATGAATAGAATGGTTTGACATAATGGAATACACAATGTTGTGTATTACTCATTGTTTCTATAATATATATAACCTAGAGCAATTTATGAAACAAAATATTGGAAGTTACTCAAATAATCAATTATTATTATTATTATTATTATTATTATTATTATTATTATTATATCTGTTACATATTTTGATAGGTCAGGACTAATGAATTCAGGTCTTTTCAATGTTACTGTGTAAGATTTATTTAATGAATTAGTTATAATATACTCCTTCCGTCCGAAAAATTATGCCAATTTTGTTGTCCGTTAAACTTATGCATAATCTATTTATATAAATAATAGTCTCATCCTTGAAACTATCTTGATGGTAATTGAGTGTGAAGGTTCCCACACACCAGAATAAGATTTGATTAGCAATCTGTAATGTTTCTATTCAATATATTTGAATTGAGATACATTCTTAAAACTGTTATTCCTCATGTATTTGGTTGCATGTTGCATGCTTGAGTTTCCTGGATTTTGTAGAATTCTTTTTCTAAGCATTCATTTGACACATAATTAGAAATATGATACTTTACCAATGATATGCAATATAAGAAGAAACACAATCATATGTCTGAATGACATACTCACTGTGTGTTTGCTTTGTGCTTGTTTTTGTGTTTCTCCTTTCTTTTTTTTTTTTGGGTTTTTTTTGTTGAAATAATTGTTGGATTTGATGTTTGGTAAGATTAGCCATTTTTTCTAGATCTATCTTGGTTATGGAATTAGCAATAACTATTCCTAAAATTTTGGATCTTTTAAATGCATTTTTAAAAATCTTGAAAACTTGCTACTATGGAAATATTACATTAAAGAACATTTCTTTTGATTGAGGGCACATGTGACTGTTGATTTGGTAGCTTATATAGGATAAAATGCATTTCTTTAAGTTCATCTATCTAGACACTAGAGATGGAGTTTTATTTGTCTTACCATAGAAATCCAATTGTTTGCACTAGTAATTACTTAGAGATGGCGTTTGCAGTAGAGCAATATTTCTGCTGTGTTAGTAATTTAATTGTGCTGTTGGGTGATGTCTCGCATTGGATTAATCATGGATAGGCTCCCCTGCCCCACCTTCTGGGCTCTTCATATTTGCAAAGTTATGAACGCTAAGAGCCTGGGAAATCCATTATACTGTTAGTAAATATATATGTTGAGCTTTTCTATCTTCACAATCAGTTATTACAATGCTGCAAAGTTCATATCTTCATTAACATGACTTTTAATGCACTGGTATTTACATTCCTGCACCTCCTCCAGTGATCCCTATCATAGATCAACTTCCCAAGTGAAAAGCTCTTAAGAATAAAAATTCACTGAAGTAACCCTTTTCTCTGGACATTACAGCTCCTGCATCTGCTGCATCTCCTGTGGAAGCACATCCAAATCTTCCATCAACTCCTGCATCTCCTGCCGCTTCAAAGAAAGTTAAGCGGCCGAGCTTAGTTCTTTTAATTGGGCTTGGAGCTGTAATCCTCATAGTTGCTGTTATTTCTGTGTTTATAATTTGTTTCTGCATAAATCGTCGTGTGAAGTTCAACATACCCGTCAAAGAAACTGGTATGTAAGGAGTTCTCGTTTAATAATTTATTATTCACTGCTCTATTTTGTTTCTCCTTCTGAGGCAGTGCTGTTTGAAATGCATAAATGTTTTCTTCACTATTGATGAATACCATCACTCATTATGTTACTGCCATCTGATTTATTGACTTCCTGATTTATTTCACCTACTTATTTTTTTGTGTAATAGAAAAACAAAGGACTGTGGAGACAATATCCATTGTAGGATCACTCCGCCACCCAACAAGTACACGTTTCCTCACATACGAAGAGCTCAAAGAAGCTACAAACAACTTTGAAGCTGCCAGTATTCTTGGAGAGGGTGGATTTGGGAGAGTTTTCAAGGGTGTTTTAAGCGATGGTACTGCTGTAGCTATAAAAAGGCTTGGAAATGGTGGACAACAAGGGGATAAGGAGTTCTTGGTTGAGGTCGAGATGCTTAGCAGGCTGCATCATCGTAACTTGGTGAAACTTGTTGGCTACTACAGCAATCGTGACTCCTCACAAAACCTCCTTTGCTATGAGCTTGTCCCAAATGGAAGTTTGGAGGCCTGGCTTCATGGTAATACCCGATGACTATGTTTAAATTAAAAATAACTCGAGTGACAAGTTGTATGCCCATAATATTGCTGTGCTATGCTATAGGACCTTTGGGGGTAAACTGCCCGCTTGATTGGGATACCAGAATGAAAATTGCTCTTGATGCTGCTCGGGGACTCGCTTACTTGCATGAGGATTCTCAACCTTGCGTTATTCACCGAGATTTCAAGGCATCAAATATATTGCTCGAGAACAACTTTCATGCTAAAGTTTCAGATTTTGGCCTTGCAAAACAAGCCCCCGAAGGCAGGGCAAACTACCTCTCCACCCGTGTAATGGGAACCTTTGGGTTAGTTAGTCTCTTCTTGCCAAGCCTTGATGATTCTTTTATCACTTTCTTCAACACATGTATCCAAGCTGATCCTTTCACAGGTACGTTGCCCCCGAGTATGCCATGACCGGGCACCTCTTGGTGAAAAGTGATGTTTACAGTTACGGTGTGGTTCTTCTTGAGTTACTGACTGGAAGAAAGCCTGTGGACATGTCGCAACCATCGGGCCAGGAGAACCTTGTAACATGGGTGGGTTAGAAGCACTATTTCAAGACTGCATTCCAATAAAGTATATGTGTATATATATATATATATATATTCTTATAGCAAAGAAGAGTTGAAGTTGTGCATAATATTTCACAGGCGCGGCCAATACTAAGAGAGAAGGAGCGGTTGGAAGAACTAGGTGATCCAAAGCTGGAGAGGAAGTACCCAAAAGAAGACTTTTTCCGGGTTTGCACCATTGCAGCAGCTTGTGTGGCTCCGGAAGCTAGCCAACGACCCACAATGGGCGAAGTGGTGCAGTCTCTGAAAATGGTGCAACGGGTGACAGAATATCATCATCATCATCATGATTCTGCTGGAGCAGGAGCACAAGCACAAGCACAGGCAGGTAATAACCTTAGGCAGTCATCGACGACATTGGAGTCGGATGGTACCAATTCTTCAATGTTTTCTTCTGGTCCTTACTCTAGTCTAAGCATACTGGACAATGATAACATTTCTAGGACTGGTGTATTTTCGGAGGATCTTCAGGAAGGGCGGTAATTACACAACATTTTTCATGTTTTTGGTTTATCATCATCATCATTATTATTATTATTATTATTATTATTATTATAATTAAGTGGTGGATGATTAGAGGGGTTAAACAAGTGTTGAATGAATGAAGAGAAAGACAGACTTAGTTAACAAACAAGTGTGTGTTGTGAGTGATATGATGTTGGAAGAGATTTTGGTATCTTTTTTGTTTTGCGTTGTCGTAGAAAAATAAATGCTAGAGCCGCACTCAACCTATGCTCAAGCGTTATGTGCGCAAACCCGGAGGAGAGCTGCTGTATTCTGCCTGAAACCGTTTGATCGATTTCTTTGGGTAATTCTCAGGGAAGTGTATTATTCTAGCTGCTTTGATTTTAATTTGTTTTCTTCAATTGATTCCGGATGAAATATTGGACTCCTGTTATATACGTATACAACAAATCACCTCGATCGTGTATCTTTTGTAGTCATTAGTATAATATGATCATGTATATATATATATATATATATAGAGAGGTGGGATTGCTTTTATACATATCTATTAATTCACTCACTACTTTAATATAATATATATTAGTAAATACATATATATATATCACACACTGCACACACATTTCTATATATATACATATACACTCTATATTATATAATATTATACAATATATATAAAATAATATTATGCTATATATAAAATATAAAATAGTGATCAGAGCTAAAAGTAATTAATATTTCTATTGGCGAATCTTATAATAATATTGTAACACGTTATCAACATGATTATATATTTTAATTAATTTCCGCAATGTAATATTTTATACTTTCTCTGTTTATTATGACTAATCTTACCAAACGGTCTCTTCATTTATGGTCAAAATTAATGGTCTGGGATCGCGATGTTAAAATGCATCTGGCAAGCTTGGAAAATACCATTGCCCGGGATAAAAATTTCACGAGCTAAGATCGTGCAAAGGCCATCATCTTTTTGTGTCATCACATCAATGAGGCATTGAAAATGTAATATGTAACGTTGGAATATCCACTTGAATTGTGGGAGACATTGAAAGAGAGATATGATCACTTGAGGCTGACTTTGTTGCCAATGATATGAAGTGAATGGTAAAGCCTACGGCTTCAGGACTTTAAAACAGTCCAAAAATATAATTTTGTCATGTTTAAATATCATCACAGCTACGCCGTTGTGGTGAAAATATATCTGAATCTGATATGATAGAGAAAACTTTCTCCACTTTTCATGCCTCTAATATGATTTTGCAGCAACAGTATCGCGAAAAAGGCTTCTAGAAATATTCTGAGCTGATCACTTGTCTTTTTTTCTAGCCGAACAAAATAATGAATTTCTGTTGAAAAATCACGATTCACGGCTGACAGGTGCAACTCCATTTCCAGAGGCAAATGCAATACAACCGACAAATCCGGTGTGTGGTTGTAGGCAGGTCAGAAATCAATGAATTGATCGCGATCGAAATTAGAATCGTGGACGGGGCCGGACAAACGCATACGGTCACAATAATTATCAGAACAGACCCTGATATGTGCCAAATGGCATTATAATGACAGAAGACCGTACAGACCTCAACATTATTGTTACTGTTATTGTTACAGACCTCAACACCGAGAGAAACATAAACAACGACGAGAAGAAAGATCGTTATTGTTACTATCAGTGATGCATAAAAAATTATTGAAGGCTCAGGAAAAACTACTACATTTCCCCAAAAAAAAGGATAAAAATGACAATTGAAAATGCCAGAATTTACTGAGTTTAAGTGATATTCGGAAAAATGGGTATCACATTAAAACATTGAATGAGGCAGAAAATGAGTATCTCTTGATAACTCATATTGTGAATGACAAAAGAATTGTGAAAGAAAAATTGCCATCATTTTTTTCCGGCTTGTATTATTCAAGAGCTGCCATTGAAACATGTCACCTAGTAAACCAAATAGCTATTAGCGAATTTAAAACTTGACACGATCGACTTTGGCATCCTGACAATGCAATGCTGAGGCGAATTGTTGAAAATTCAAATGGCCACTCATTGGAAAAGAAAAATATTTTGAGTCCGAATGAATTTTCTTGTGCTGCATGTTCCCAAGGGAAGTTAATAATTAGGCCATCTCTAACAAAGGCTAGATTTGAATCCCTAGCTTTTCTAGAAAGAATTCAGGGTGATATTTGTGGACCTATAGATCCACCGTGTGGACCTTTTAAGTATTTTATGGTACTAATTGACGCGTCAACGCGTATCTACTCACAATCAAGCTTTTTCTAGAGTATTTGTATAAATAATTAAATTGCGAGCACATTTTCCAAATCACCAGATAAAGAAAATACATTTAGATAATGTTGGAAAGTATTCATCACATACATTTGATGATTATTGCATGTCAATTGAGATCACTGTGGAACATCTTGTTCTCCATGTACATACGCAAAATGGCCTCGCTGAATCTCTTATCAAAAGATTGCAATTAATTGCTAGACCATTGTTAATGAGGTCTAAACTTCCCGTCTCAATTTGGGGACATGCTATATTGCATGCAACAGCCCTCGTGAAAATAAGACCGACAAATTATCACTGTTATTCTCATACTCAATTGGTATCTGGAAAAGTACCAAATATATCCCACCTACGAATTTTTGGGTGTGTTGGTTATGTGTCAATTGCGTCACCTCAACGCACGAAAATGGGACCTCAAAGAAGGTTGGCTATATATGTCTGGTATGAATCACCCTCGATTGCGAAATATCTTGAACCAACAACGGGTGATTTATTTACTACAAGGTTTGAAAATTGTCACTTTGATGAATCTCATTTCCCGATATTAGGGGGAGATATTAATCAACTAATAAAAGAAATTGTGGAAAATACCAGTTGAAGTTGATCCTTGTACGAAACATAGTGAACTTGAAGTTCATAGAATTGTGCATTTGCAGAAAATTGCAAATAAATTGTCTGATGCTTTTAATGATGCTTCGAGAGTTACAAAATCATATATTGCAGCAGCAAATGCACCAGCTAAAATAAATATCCCAGAAGGGAAGGTGCCGAGTGCTAATAAACATACTGCCCACATAAATTGTGGCAAACCGTTGGGTTCCAAGAATAAGAATCTACAAAAGAAGAAAATTATAAATACCGGTGAAAATATCAACAATGATCAGATACCTGAAAATGTCAGTACAACCCCTGAAGAGGTTGATACTAAAAATCTAAATGAAAGTGATGATGAAGTTATTGAAACTTCTGTTAACTATACCACAAGTGGAAATTATTGAAATAGAAAGAAAATAAATATTGATAATGCATTTGCATATTATGTAGACCTCTACATAATAAAAGTATACGAGGATTATGAATCAAAATAAGTTGATGAATGTCGGCAAAGAGATGATTGGACAAAATGGAAAGAGGCAATTCAGTCTGAATTGGACTCATTGAAAAAACGGCAAGTATTCAGCCCCATAGTCCAAACACCTGTAAATGTAAAATCTGTTGGCTACATATGAGTGTTTGTGAGAAAAAGAAATGAAAATAATGATATAATAAGATATAAAGCAAGGCTTGTAGCCCAGGGTTTTTCCCAAAGACCGGACATTGTTTTGAAGAAACATATTCACTGGTCGTGGATGGAATAACATTATGGTATCTGGTGAGCCTGACAGTACGCGAAAATCTTGATATGCGATTAATAGATGTGGTTATTTTCTATCTTTACAGCTCCTTAGACAATGATGTCTATATAAAAATTCCAAAATGACTTAACATACCTAAATCATTCAAATCAAAGCCAAACAATTTATATTCCATCAAATTGCAAAAATCTTTGTATGAACTCAAACAATCAACCCAATTGTGGTACAATAGACCTGTCAAAACGGGTTAGTGGGGCGGATTGACCCACAATCCACCATAACCTGCAAATAAACGGGTTGTTTGCGGGCCAACCCGTGAGGGTGGGGGGAAGGGGGTGGATCAAAATTTCATCAACCCAACCTAACTCACCGGCGGGTGGAGAGTTAAGCGGGCTAGCCCACGGACTTTTTTAAAATATTAAAAGAATATTAATATTTTAAATATTTTTGTAATTAATATTTAAAAATAGCTAAAAAATAGTTTTATTGTAGAAATTAAATAATAAATAACAAATTCTAAATGTTATTAGTTGGTGTATTTAAAAAAATTAATAATAGGAAATACTAAATTTTAAAAATTAATCATAATTAATTTTATGAATTTGTAAAATTATAAAATGGAAGACGAACAAAACAAATAATAAAAAAGCGAAACAAATAACACTGACATGGATAACAGAGTCAAAGATAAAAAAACAATGTGTAGACAATATTGACAAATTATTTAAGCTAATGATAATATAAATTTTATTTTATTCGTCTTAACTTAAAATATTTCTTCAGCAAATAAAAAATAATCATATGTTATTTATTAAATAAAGTGTACAAGATGATTTTGATATTTTTTACTCTTTGTACGTTATTTATAAATTAATTGTATTTATAATGGTATATTTGTAATTTATATAAAATTAAAATATATTCTGATATTAATATTTGATTAGTTTTATTATAATTTTTTAATGTGACCGTAAGAAATTGTAAAAAAGTATATTTAGTTAGTCAGGTGAATACTAATTATTATATTTACTTGGCCCGCGGGCTAACCCGCCCCACTGCGGGCTAACCCATCCTCAACCCGCGACCCATGCGGGTTGGCCCATTTAGGCCCACATTTTAACGGGTTTAAAAAGTCATAACCCAACCCTCCTTAAAAGTAAGGCGGGGCGGACCAACTCGACAGACTCAACCCATTTTGACGGCTATAGGTACAATTGTCTCAGCAAAAGCCTAACAAAAGCATGTTATATAAATGACCCTATCTGTCCATGCGTTTTCATAAAGAAAAAGGGTCATAATTTGTAATCATCGCTGTTTATGTCGATGATTTTAATTTAATTGAAATTTCTAATTAAATCCAAAAAGCTGTTGAATATATGA